TCAGTAGCATACTAGGATCAAGGGCTACCAAGTTTGTATAAATGTATGACCTTGAATCATATTCAAGGTCACAAGGAGCAAATATGTTCAAAATATTTCAACAACTTGTTCTGAATAACCAAAAGGCTCAGGATGTTGATATTTAGTCAGTAGCATATGCTGGGATCGAGGACTACTTTGTTTGTTAAAGTGAATGACTTTGACTTATATTCAAGGTCACAGGGGTAATTTTTTTTAATCTTTAAACAACCTCTTTTGAATAACCATGGGTCCCAGGATGTTAATACTTTGCAAGTTGCATCCTGAGATGAAAGGCTATACAATGTGTTCAACATAATGACTTTATTCGACTTTTAATCACAGGGGTGAAATGTTCAAAAAAAAATAACAGGGTCTTTTGAATGAATTTTAATCATAAATACTGATATTTTCCTGTAGCTTTATTTTAGATCACTTTTAAGGTTACAAGTGTGAGTTTTATACCAGGTGAGCGATTCAGGCCCATTGGGCCTCTTGTTTAAACAAATAGGAGGAGATTCCATGTGTTCAAAATTAAAACTTTAAATGGAGTGTATGTACAATATGTCGTGTATATATCCATTTGGGTATAAATAATGCTGTACAAATGACATTTTTAAAGATGGTGAGCTATTCAAATTGCCTATCGTCGGTACTTCATCCTTAAATGATTCAATATTTCTCAGAAAGTAAGGGAGTGATCTTTCTCAATTTAAAGAAAAGCAAGTTCTGATTGGTATTTAGTAGTGATAACTGCAAAGTGAGTTGTTGTTTCCACATATATTAACTAGTACAGAAGTTAATGTGAAAGAAATAGAACCTATCATTGCAATATGAGAAAGATCTGTTAAGCACTCCCTGGGAAATAGTGATAATCTTCTTGAAATGTAAAAATCCAAGATGTTTGCCTGCGGCCTGTGGCCATCTTGGTCAGAAAGTACTGGAAAGATCTCTCTCAAATTACATATGTACGTTTCTTTTGGTCTTTAGTTGTGCACATTTACCTTTAAGACTGATTAGATGAACAAAATGGCAGTCAGGCTGCCATCCTTAATTTTGGCAGTTGAGATTTGTTATTGCTATTTCTCATGAAGTACTTTGAGGGATCTTTCTCAAATATGGATGTTCCCCTTGTTAAAGATACCCCTAGCCCTAATGAGAATTTACCCCTCATTGACAGCAAGAATTACAATTTGTTTAACCATATAGTTATGCAATTCTTATAAAGTAACATTTGCAATAGTTGCAAATAACATAACATTACAAGGCTTAAGGTAATGTACAAGATTCCTGTTTATGATGTCCTACATGGGACTAGGTAATAGTACAAGTAAGGAGAGTGGAGAGCAAGGAAGTTAATAGATCATCTTCTGTAGATCTGATAAAGATCCTTTGATGGTGGATGACAAGATCCCTCTAGGATCTCTTGTTCAGGATAGCCTTGCCCGATATTCTACTCACAATTTAAGTGTGTATTTATGTACATTGTATATTTCAGGATACCACAAACAGGATGTTCTGCCTATTTGATTTCAAAAAGTGTAAGCTTCCAAAAAAACCTCCAGCAGAATTTCACTTGGAGCCCTGCCTCTACAAAAGAAGATAGCTGGCCATGTGCAGGTTTTATATAAAAAAGACAAATAAAGAATACACTAACTCCATTTTATGTTGTCATGTTTCAAATGCTTCATTGTATGCTGTTTTATGCTGTCCAACTATAAGTTGCCTTTAAAAGAATACTAGTTTGAAATAGATGAAGGGATTTTGACCTTTAAAAATATGATCACAAATCTCTGGGTTGCTAAAACTCTTATGGGCATTTGGGGGTATTATTAGTTCACCTGGCCCGAAGGGCCAAGTGAGCTTATCGCATGGTGCGGCGTCCGTCGTCCGTCCGTCGTCACCCTTTTACTTTAAACAACTTCTTCTCAGTAACCATAAGGCCTAGGGTGATGATATTTGGCCAGTAACATGCTTGGATGAAGGGCTACTAAGTTTGTTCAAATACATGACCTTTGCTTATATTCAAGGTCACAGAGGTCAAATATGGTTTAAAACTTTCAACAACTTCTTCTGAATAACCAAGAGGCCTAGGGGGCCTAAATTTGGCCAGTAACATGCTTGGATGAAGGGCTACTAAGTTTGTTCAAATACATGACCTTTGCTTATATTCAAGGTCACAGAGGTCAAATATGTTTTAAAACTTTGAACAACTTCTTCTGAATAACCAAAATGCACAGGGTGATGATATTTGGCCAGAAGCATGCTGAGATGAAGGGCTACCAAGTTTGTTTAAATAAATGACCTTGACTTATATTCAAGGCCACAGAGGTCAAATATGTTTATATCCTTTCAACAGCTTCTTCTGAATAACCGATAGGCCTAGGGTGATGATATTTGGCCAGTAGCATGCTGTGGTGAAGGGTTACCAAATTTGTTCATATGAATGACCTTGACCAACTTTCAAGGTCACAGGTGTCAAATGTATTAAAATATTCAAACAACTTCTTCTCAATAACCAAAAGGCCCAGGGTACTGATATTTGGCCTGTAGCAAGCAGGGCTACCAAATTTGTTCAAATGAATGACCTTGGTTTATATTCAAGGTCACAGGGGCCAAATATGTTTAAAACATTTAAGCAACTTCTACTGAATAACCAAGAGGCCTAATGTGGTGACATTTGGCCAGTAGCATGCAGGGATGAAGGGCTACCAAGTTTTTTCAAATAAATGACCTTCATCCAATTTCAAGGTCACAGAGGTCAAATATGGTTTAAAACTTTCAACAACTTCTTCTGAATAACCGATAGGCCTAGGGTGATGACATTTGGCCAGAAGCATGCTGGGATGAAGGGCTACCAAGTTTTTTCAAATAAATGACCTTCATCCAATTTCAAGGTCACAGAGGTCAAATCTGTTTATAACCTTTCAACAGCTTCTTCTGAATAACCGATAGGCCTAGGGTGATGATATTTGGCCAGTAACATGCTGGCGTGAAGGGCTACCAAGTTTGTTCAATTATATTCAAGGTCACAGGGGTGAAATATGTTTAAAACCGTTAACCAACTTCTTCTGAATAACCAAGAGGCCTAGGGGGCCTAAATTTGGCCAGTAACATGCTTGGATGAAGGGCTACTAAGTTTGTTCAAATACCTGACCTGGACTTATATCCTAGGTCACAGGGGTCAAATATGTTAAAAACTTTAAACAACTTCTTCTCAGTAACCATAAGGCCTAGGGTGATGATATATTCCCAGAAGCATGCTGGGATGAAGGGCTACCAAGTTTTTTCAAATAAATGACCTTCATCCATTTTCAAGGTCACAGGGGTCAAATATGTTAAAAACTTTAAACAACTTCTTCTCAGTAACCATAAGGCCTAGGGTGATGATATATTCCCAGAAGCATGCTGGGATGAAGGGCTACCAAGTTTTTTCAAATAAATGACCTTCATCCAATTTCAAGGTCACAGAGGTCAAATCTGTTTATAACCTTTCAACAGCTTCTTCTGAATAACCGATAGGCCTAGGGTGATGACCTTTGGCCAGAAGCATGCTGGGATGAAGGGCTACTAAGTTTGTTCAAATAAATGACATTGATTTATATTCAAGGCCACAGGGGTCAAATATGTTTAAAACATTTAAGCAACTTCTACTGAATAACCAAGAGGCCTAATGTGTTGATATTTGGCCAGTAGCATGCATGGATGAAGGGCTACCAAGTTTTTTCAAATAAATGACCTTCATCCAATTTCAAGGTCACAGAGGTCAAATATGGTTTAAAACTTTCAACAACTTCTTCTGAATAACCGATAGGCCTAGGGTGATGATATTTGGCCAGAAGCATGCTGGAATAAAGGGCTACCAAGTTTGTTCAATTATATTCAAGGTCACAGGGGCCAAATATGTTTAAAACATTTAAGCAACTTCTACTGAATAACCAAGAGGCCTAATGTGTTGATATTTGGCCAGTAGCATGCAGGGATGAAGGGCTACCAAGTTTTTTCAAATAAATGACCTTCATCCATTTTCAAGGTCACAGAGGTCAAATATGTTTAAAACATTTAAACAACTTCTACTGAATAACCAAGAGGCCTAATGTGGTGATATTTGGCCAGTAGCATGCAGGGATGAAGGGCTACCAAGTTTGTTCAAATGAGTGACCTTGACCAACTTTCAAGGTCACAGGTGTCAAATGTATTAAAATCTTCAAACAACTTCTTCTCAATAACCAAAAGGCCCAGGGTACTGATATTTGGCCTGTAGCAAGCAGGGCTACCAAATTTGTTCAAATGAATGACCTTGACCCACTTTCAACCTAATGTCATTGTTTGACATTCAAGGTCACACTGATATTCTGCCTGTAGCTGTATTTTAGTCCACCTTTAAGTTTACAAGTGTGAGATTAATACAAGGTGAGCGATGCAGGCCCATTGGGCCTCTTGTTTAAAACCCTGAGGGGTATTTGGGGGTACTCTTCAATCCCTGAGGGGTATTTGAGGGTTCCTCTTTAACCCCTGAGGGGTATTTGAGGGTTCCTCTTTAACCCCTGATGGGTATTTGAGGGTTCCTCTTTAACCCCTGATGGGTATTTGAGGGTTCCTCTTTAACCCCTGATGGGTATTTGAGGGTTCCTCTTAAACCCCTGATGGGTATTCTGGGAAGAATGAATAACATCACTCCAGTATAATGGTATTACAAACCAGTGGTATTTATTGTAGAAAACTCCACATCTGAGTGATTATGATACAGAACACAAGACTTTTAACAACAGTAAATAATACACACAACCTTTACATACATATAAACAAAGACTGCACTACTAATGGGCAAGTTTCAACGAAATTTGTTACAAACATGCTTGTTAACAATACATATTAACACACAATTAATGAGGTAACAAAGTAAAGTAACAATGACATGTATAGTAACATTGGTTACATTGTTACTTGAAATCAGTGTTAATGTACATTGTTATTATTCAAGTACCAATGTATAGAAACATTGACTCCAGGTAACAATGTATATTAACATTGACTCAAGGTAACAGTGTATAGTAACATTGACTCCGGGTAACAATGTACAGTAACATAATTGACTCAAGGTAACAATGTATAGTAACATTGACTCTGGGTAACAATGTACAGTAACATTGACTCGAGGTAACATTGTAAGGTAACATTGACTCCAGGTAACAATGTACAGTAACATTGACTCCAGGTAACAATGTACAGTAACACTGACTCCAGGTAACAATGTATAGTAACATTGACTTCAGGTAACAATGTACAGTAACACTGACTCAAGGTTACAATGTATAGTAACATTGACTCTGGGTAACAATGTATAGTAACATTGACTTCAGGTAACAATTTATAGTAACATTGACTCGAGGTAACAATTTATAGTAGCATTGATTCCGGGTAACAATGTATAGTAACATTGATTCCGGGTAACAATGTATAGTAACATTGACTTCAGGTAACAATGTATAGTAACAATGTATAGAAACATTGACTCAAGGTAACAATGTATAGTAACATTGACCCAGGGTAACAATGTACAGTAACATTGACTCCAGGTAACAATGTACAGTAACACTGACTCAAGGTTACAATGTATAGTAACATTGACTCCGGGTAACAATGTATAGTAACATTGACTTCAGGTAACAATGTATAGAAACATTGACTCAAGGAAACATTGTACAGTAATACCGACTCCAGGTAACAATGTACAGTAACATTGACTCAAGGTAACAATGTATAGTAACATTGACTCCGGGTAACAATGTATAGTTGCATTGACTTTAGGTAACATTGACTCAAGGTAACAATGAATAGTAACATTGACTCCAGGTAACAATGTACAGTAACATTGACTCCAGGTAACAATGTATAGTAACATTGACTCCAGGCAACATTGTACAATAACATTGACTCAAGGTAACAATGTACAGTCACATTGACTCCGGGAAACAATGTACAGTAACATTGACTCCAGGTAACAATGTACTGTAACATTGACTCCAGGCAACATTGTGCAATAACATTGACTCAAGGTAACAATGTATAGTAACATTGACTCAAGATAACGATGTACAGTAACATTGACCAAGGTAACAATGTATAGTAACATTGACTCCGGGAAACAATGTATAGTAACATTGAATCAAGGTAACAATGTATAGTTACATTGACTCAAGAGTAACCTTGACTCAAGATAACAATGTATAGTAACATTGACTCAAGATAACAATGTACAGCAACACTGACTCCAGGTAACAATGTATAGTAACATTGACTCCAGGTAACAATGTACAGTAACATTGACTCCAGGTAACAATGTATAGTAACACTGACTCCAAGTAACATTGACTCCAGGTAACAATGTACTGTAACATTGACTCCAGGCAACATTTTACAATAACATTGACTCAAGGTAACAATGTACAGTAACATTGACTCCAGGAAACAATGTACAGTAACATTGACTGCAGGTAACAATGTACTGTAACACTGACTCCAGGCAACATTGTACAATAACATTGACTCAAGGTAACAATGTATAGTAACAGTGACTCAAGATAACAATGTACAGTAACACTGACTCCAGGCAACATTGTACAATAACATTGACTCAAGGTAACAATGTATAGTAACATTGACTCCAGGTAACAATGTACAGTAACATTGACTCCAGGTAACAATGTATAGTAACACTGACTCCAGGTAACAATGTACAGTAACATCGACTCCAGGTAACAATGTATAGTAACACTGACTCCAGGTAACAATGTATAGTAACACTGACTCCAGGTAACAATGTATAGTAACATTGACTCTAGGTAACAATGTATAGTAACATTGACTTCAGGTAACAATGAATAGTAACATTGACTCAAGGTAACAATGTATAGTAAAATTGACTCCAGGTAACAATGTACAGTAACAATGACTCCGGGAAACAATGTACAGTAACATTGACTCCAGGTAACAATGTATAGTAACATTGACCCAAGGTAACAATGTACAGTAACATTGACTCCAGGTAACAATGTATAGTAACATTGACTCCAGGTAACAATGTACAGTAACATTGACTCCGGGAAACAATGTACAGTAACATTGACTCCAGGTAACAATGTATAGTAACATTGACCCAATGTACATTAACACTGACTCAAGGTTACAATGTATAGTAACATTGACTTCAGGTAACAATTTATAGTAACATTGACTCAAGGTAACAATGTATAGTAAAATTGACTCCAGGTAACAATGTACAGTAACATTGACTCTGGGTAACAATGTACAGTAACACTGACTCCAGGTAACAATGTATAGTATCACTGACTCCAGGTAACACTGTTTATCTGAAACTTTCTCATGTTTATTTCTGTTGTGCGCTATACTTCCACTAATGTTAAATGTCAATGTCATTCTGGCTAGACAGTTCTGATTTGAACAATTCAGAGACATTGATATTGGTTTTGTTGATAGCCATCAGAGGTTTGAGGGCCGACATGAGGCTGTGGAAAAGGTGGGGGTGCAGGATTTCCTGGGCAGCCAGCAGTTGTTTGATTCGGTGTCTCTCCTATAAAAAAAGAAGAAAAACACTTAAACCTCAGCTTGCATGATTAACATCTTGCATCATTCACCTGTCATTCATTTCACATCTTTGACCTTCAAAGATGGTCAATATATAGACTAAATATCGTTACTTTCCATATAATAATATAGAAACAAAACTGGGCCCATCTTGCTCCTGTTACAAAAGCAACATTAGTTTATGTTTAACATTTTACTTTATGACTATACATAATACAAGAGGCCCAATAGGACTGCATACTTGGTATTAATCCCACACTTGTAAAGTGGACTAAAATAAAGCTACAGGCAAAGATTCAGTATCTATCACTAAGTTATTCAAAAGAACCTATTAAAAGATTCAAACACATCTAACCTGTGACCTTGAAAGTCTCACAAGTTCATAAAGTTTATAGCCCTTACCTTCAGTAGGTAAATGTCATTCACATGAATGAACTTGACAGAATTTCATCTGAGTAGGCTACTGCCCAAATATCACCACACTAATCATATTGGTCATTCAGAAGATATTGCTAACACATTTGACCACTGTGACCTAGAATATGAGTCAAGGTCTTTCTTTTGAACAAACATGGAAGCCCTTTATCCCTGCTTACTACAGGGCAAATACTATCACCCTGGCTCTAGGTTATTAAGAAGATGTTTTTAAAGGTTTTTTTTAAAGACAATTGACCCCTGTGACCTTGAATGAGGGTGAAAGTCAATCATTTGAACAAAACTTTGTAGCACTTCATCCTAGCATGCTTCTGGCTAAATATCACCATCCTGGCCAGTTTTGTTATTCAGGAGAAGTCATTTTAAATGTTTAACATATATGACCCCCTGTGGCCTTGAATATGAGTCAAGGTAATTCATCTCAGCAAGCTACTTGCCAAATATCATCACCCTAGTCAAGTTATTCAAAAGAATTAGTTAAAAGTTTTTAACATATTCTATCCCTGTGACCTTGAATAGTTGTCAAGGACATTCATTTCAGTCATTCTTCCTTATGGACAAAAGACAGACGGACGACAGACGGGCAAATGACAGACAAACGACAGACTCTGTGCCACGGCATAGGCTCAAAAGAGGGAAAGGAGTGACCACACAACTGACCAAACTAGCCAGTGGTTATATGGGGTAGAACTACCTGACCAAACTAGCCAGTGGGAATAGGGGGCAGAACTACCTGACCAAACTAGCCAGTGGGAATAGGGGGCAGAACTACCCGACAAAACTAGCCAGTGGGAATAGGGGGCAGAACTGCCCGATGAAACTATCCAGTGGGAGTATGGGGCAGAACTACCCGACAAACCTAGCCACTGGGAATAGGGGGCAGAACTACCTGACCAAACTAGCCAGTGGGAATAGGGGGCCGACAAAACTAGCCAGTGGGAGTAGGGGGCAGACCGGGCAGAACTACCCGACAAAACTAGCCAGTGGGAATAGGGGGCAGAACTGCCCGACCAAACTAGCTAGTGGGAGTATGGGGCAGAACTACCCGACAAAACTAGCCAGTGGGAGTAGGGGGCAGACCTACCCGCCCAAACTAGCCAGTGGGAGTAGGGGGCAGACCTCCCCAACCAAACTAGCCAGTGGGAGTAGGGGGCAGAACTACCCGACCAAACTAGCCAGTGGGAGTAGGGGGCAGAACTACCCAACCAAACTAGCCAGTGGGAGTAGGGGGCAGAACTACCCGACCAAACTAGCCAGTGGGAGTAGGGGGCAGAACTACCCGACCAAACTAGCCAGTGGGAGTATGGGGCAGAACTGCCAATACCCCAAAACAAAACCAGAAATGAAAGGCCTAGGGTCAGACATATGACCAGTTTGCTGCTGGAAAGCATGACGCATAGTACCCGAAGGACCAAGAACATGGTGTGGTGCCCGACTCTTGTCAGACTGCTCACCTTCTCCATTACCCAGCCAAGGCCGACAGGTTCCGAGTGGCACAAGTTGACAGGGAATTGACCTCCCCAGGGTTGATGCCTCTACCCTCTGTGGGGCCCAGATACCCATCAGAGCAGACAACCACAAGCGATCTTCATTCATGTCCTCAGAAAAGATGGGGGAACAGAACTCTGCCATGTGCTTTCTCAGAGCTGAAGAAAAGAGGGTTGGAGGTGTGCACACATCCTACACCCTATGTCCAGTTTAGACATGGAATACTTTTGTATTTGCTACTGGCCAAATATCGCTTTGGGCTTTTCAGTTCTTCATGATCAGTTGAAGTCATTTAAAAGTGGGTCAAAGTCATTCATGATCACTTCAACAAACTTCATAGCCCTCCCTCTCTGCAGTGGCTACTATCCAAACATCAACACTTTAAGTTTGGCCCTATCCTAGTAAGCTTCCAATCTAATATCATGAATCTAGGCCTTTCCATTCTTCAGAAGAAGTCAATTGAAGTAAAAAGGTTTACGTACGACAGACAACAGACAATGGACATCATGTCTGACAGACGATGGACATCACGTACGACAGACAACAGACAATGGACATCATGTACGACAGAAAACAGACAATGGACATCACGTACAACAGACAATAGACGATGGACATCACGTACGACAGACAACAGACAATGGACATCACACGTACGACAGACAATAGACGATGGACATCACGTACGACAGACAACAGATGATAGACATCACATACAACAGACAACAGACGATGGACATCACGTACGACAGACAACAGACGATAGACATCACGTACGACAGACAACAGATGATAGACATCACATACGACAGACAACAGACGATGGACATCACATATGACAGACAACAGACAATGGACATCACGTACGACAGACAACAGACAATGGAAATCACGTACGACAGACAATAGACGATTGACATCACGTACGACAGACAACAGATGATAGACATTACATACGACAGACAACAGACGATGGACATCACATACGACAGACAACAGACGATGGACATCACAGACAACAGACAACAGACGATGGACATCACGTACGAAAGACAACAGACGATAGACATTACATACGACAGACAACAGACGATGGACATCACAGACAACAGACAACAGACGACGGACATCACGTACGACAGACAACAGACAATGGAAATCACGTACGACAGACAATAGACGATGGACATCACGTACGACAGACAACAGATGATAGACATCACATACGACAGACAACAGAGATGGACATCACGTACGACAGACAACAGACGATGGACATCACGTGCGAAAGACAACAGACGATAGACATTACATACCACAGACAACAGATGATAGACATCACATGCAACAGACGATGGACATCACGTACGAAAAACAACAGACGATAGACATCACATACGACAGACAACAGATGATACACATCACAGACAACAGACGATGGACATCACGTGCGAAAGACAACAGACGATAGACATTACATACCACAGACAACAGATGATAGACATCACATTCAACAGACGATGGACATCACGTACGACAGACAACGGACGATGGACATCACGTACGAAAGACACCAGACGATAGACATTACATACGACAGACAAAAGATGATAGACATCACATACGACAGACAACAGAGATGGACACCGCGTACGACAGACAACAGACGATGGACATCCCGTACGACAGACAAAAGATGATGGACATCACGTACGAAAGACAACAGCCGATGGAAATCACGTACGAAAAACAATAAACGATGGACATCACGTACGACAGACAACAGACGATGGACATCACGTACGACAGACAACAGATGATGGACATCACGTACGAAAGACAACAGACGATGGAAATCACGTACGAAAAACAATAGACGATGGACATCACGTACGACAGACAACAGACGATGGCATCACGTAGAACAGACAACAGACGATAGACATTACATACGACAGACAACAGATGATAGACATCACATACAACAGACGATGGACATCACGTACGACAGACAACAGATGATGGACATCACATACGAAAGACAACAGACGATGGATATCACGTACGAAAAACAATAGACGATGGACATCACGTACGACAGACAACAGACGACGGCATCACGTAGAACAGACAACAGACGATGGACATCACGTACGACAGACAACAGATGATAGACATCACGTACGAAAGACAACAGACGATAGACATCACGTACGACAGACAATAGACGATGGACATCACATACGACAGACAACAGACGATGGACATCACGTACGACAGACAACAGACGATGGACATCACGTACGACAGACAATAGACGATGGACATCATGTACGACAGACAACAGACGATGGACATCAAAGAATTGCAATGGTTTGATATTGGTTGGATGGATGGACAGACAAAAATTAGCACCATAGAAAAAAAACTCTGTGGCCCTTCAGATGAACTAACATTTTGCCTTTCTTCACACCTTAGAACTACATACAAACCTTGGGGGACTCGAAGCAGGCAGGACAGTTCTCTGCTATTACAGGCAGCTTGTTCTGTAAATCAAAGTGTCCAGATTTAATACTTTAAATATCTGAATTTGGAAAAACAGTGCCTTCTACATTTTGTTTTAATACCAAGAGGACCAGTGGACCTGTATTGATCAGCTGTTATTTATCTCACAACTGAGCCGTTATAGAGGGTAAAGGTCAAATATTAGGATAGACTAAAAACTATTACTCTCTAGACTCCTGCAAAAATTAATCTAGGTTATTCCTTCCGATCCAATACAACCTGTGTATAAACTATGTCAAAAGAAGAAAAGGCGCTTGATACCGGATATGTGCCTGTGTTTTACTGGTCATAGGCCCAGATTGGACATCGCCATTTTGGTTCCAGATATCACAACTTACCAAATCAGAAATGGTAGAAGTATTTTATGGAAGACAGATAGACAACACACAATACCATAAGCTCACAGCCACTTCGTGCCAGGTGAGCTAATAATGGCAAGTGCTGGGATGAATTCTCTTTTGGGCCATTGGTATTTTAATGGAGGTGAGCAAGGGTAATCTTTATATATGATTTAAGAAAGATCCCTCCAGTACTTTCTAGAAATAGAGACAACAAACCTTAAATGTCAAAATCCAATATGGCCACCTGTCGGTCATTTTGTTCATCCATTCAGTCTCCAAAAATAACATTCACAACTAGAGACCAAGGGGAACGGATGGCAATAGATCACATGAGCAATCTTTTAAGTTAAAAAAAATGAATAGGTTTTTCATTTAGTTCTAATGATAATGCCTGTAGTAGTTAATGTTATGAATCTATTTATGTTTTATTTTTACTTGTCATGACAAAATGAAAGGTAAAATAACATGACAAACTGATAGGTAAAGTAACATGACAAACTGATAGGTAACATGATAAACTGATAGGTAACATGACAAACTGATAGGTAAAGTAACATGACAAACTGATAGGTAAAGTAACATGACAAACTGATAGGTAAAGTAACAAGACAAACTGATAGGTAACATGACAAACTGATAGGTAAAGTAACATGACAAACTGATAAGTAAAGTAACATGACAAACTGAAAGGCAAAGTAACATGACAAACTGATAGGTAACATGACAAACTGATAGGTAACATGACAAACTGATAGGTAACCTACCTGTTCAGCAAACAACCGGAGGTCTTTTTCCCTGACGTACACGAAAGGACGAATCACACGTAGATCTCCATCACTGTTAACGAGAAATAACAGTATATAATATACCAAGTAAAGGAAAAGGGTCTGTATTAAACACCAGCTTACCTTATCTCTTTACAACACCGTGAAATATTTGTGCAATTCTGATTATTTCCCCGATATCCAAAAATACCACAGGGCTAAGTAAGGTGAGCAATCATTGGTCTGTCGACGACAAAGACAGTAGTCACTATGTTGCTAGCGCACATTTATAAGAGCCCCAAAGTCATTGGGGTTTCATTCATTTCATATACATGTCATACACAGTTTACATCATACAGGACCATTATCTCCCTGGTTCTTAAGTAAGGCTCAGGACTCGCCTGGCGATGTAACCATACTATGTATGGTAGCAGTCTTTGTTGTACAGGACTTTCGCCTGGTTCTCCAAGAGGACTCAGGACCTCGCCTGGCCACAACCTGCTCATTCAATTCGAATTCTTCATTTGTTCATTGTCTACCAGCTTAAAACTTTAATACTTACCTCATTTCCCTTAACTAGGACCGCCTTTTCCTGTTTATGGGATTAGGACTTGCACCTGGTAGGGAATCTTGAATTTATCTTCCTTCATGCTGGTAATTGTGTAATTATATGCAGCAGCCAAGACAGCCCTAAATGCAATTTGTTTGTTTGATTTTGTTCTATGTTTTGTTTAGTTAAGTATGTGTTTGCTATGCTATGTAAATTATATTATGTGTAGAACAGTGTAGAACAGTTTTGTAATGTAAATATTTTATTTTATAATACATTCGTAAATCTTAAAAAACTGTGTTTGTTATTGTTTATAAATCAGTGCTATCGTTGTTCTCTCGGCAACAAAGACTGTAGTCACTATGTCAGTGCTATCATTGTTCTCTCGGCGACAAAGACTGTAGTCACTATGTCAGTGCTATCATTGGTCCCTCGGCGACAAAGACTGTAGTCACTATGTCAGTGCTATCATTGTTCTATTGACGACAAAGACTGTAGTCACTATGTCAGTGCTATCATTG